GGGAAGTGAGGACTAGAAGTGTCGTGCTTGAAGTCCCACTCTCGTGAAAATCGTTTAAAGGATGGAGTAGTGTACTGTGGGCCATTCTCACTGAACACTGTTTGTAGGATACCATGACAACTAAATATTTTCTTCATTTCACGAACTACGGCAGGTACCTCGGCGGGTTTTGCAATGTGGGCTACTTCAAAGAATTTGGAGTGTAATCAACGACTATTAGGTAGTCTCGACCATGGAGCGAGAAGAGATCTGTGCCAACTTTGACCCACGGTTGGTCAGGCACGTCGTGTGGTATCAGTGTTTCCTTTTGCTATCGGTTGCGATGATTTGTGCACATTGCACACTGAGAGACAAGAACAGTTAGCTCATGGTTGATTCCAGACCAATAAACTGCTTGCCAGGCTCGCCTCTTGCACTTTTCAATGCCTTGGTGTCCTTGGTGAAGAAGGGCTCGGATTTCAGGACGTATGGATTTCGGGACAATGATTTGTTGCCCTTTGAGAAGAAGGTCATGATTGTACACAATTTCGTGACGTTGGCTGTAGAAAGGTTTCACGGAACTATCAATGGTATCATCGGATGACCAACCATTGACGGTGTATTGTTTGAGCTTTTGTAGAACTACGTCGTTTGCTGTTTCGCACTGAAGATGAGAGAGTTTTGACTGGCTTGGATTAATGGACGCTGGTCTAGGCATACGCGAAGCTTTCCATTGGGTTTTTCTTCAAGAACTAAGGCGTTGACCCAGTCGGTGGATTTTTTGACTTTTTCAATTATACCCATGCTCTCCATGCGGTCTAGTTCCTTCATCAGTCGATCTTTAAGAGCAAACGGCAATTTTCGAGGAGGTACCACTACTGGACGGACATCATCTTTCAATGACATGTGATAGGTGGACTTCAGTGTGCCAATCTCTCCAAAACAGTCAGCGTACTCTTCAGATATATTAGAGCTGTAAGCTTCCTCAATGTTAGTCTAGATCAAAACTTCACTTAAAATGGGAAAGGTCTATTTAATCGTAGGAAACTAAGGTTGGATCCACACGGCCTCCGTCTCTGAGGATATTTCTATCATTCCTTATATGGAGACAGAGTCTTGAAATCCACCTTCGGTACTCTTGTTAAGAGACTTGACTGTCTTTTTTGCCAGAACTCCGCGTTTTCGAATTCGCCGGAGTCTGATTTGATCTCACAAACTCGGTAAGAAACAAAGGGCTTATAGATACGACACCGACCTTGAATCCATGCGAGTGTGACATGTCTGTCCGAGAAAAAGATTATTCGTACCATCCTCAGGCGGGTTTCCTTCAGGATTGGCTTAGCCAAACGGCTAGTTAAGGTGGCTCCCTACAGTTTTGATTGTACAGCACACAATTAATTGTATTCAAAAAACCATTATTTCATCATCTTGCAAAGTATGATCACGAAACTCGGCCACGTAACTGTTACAATATCCGCGAATTACGAAAAATAAAAAAGGCCTTAAAAATCTCCTTTGCCATGGTGTCAAAGCGATTTTAAAAAGAGCCAATTGGTAGACTCTTTTATATTTTTTTTTAAAAATATTTCGGCAAAACTTTTTAATTTTTTGCACACAGTAATCTTGTCTATAATTCTTTCAAATGATAGCGTTTAAAACAAGTCGTAGAAGATTATTTAAGATTATTTTTAATCTTCAAAAAGGCTTGTTTTTGGATTAAAAAAAAATCGGCAGTTACGATTTTCTTAAAACTTGCACATTTTATGCACTTCAAAATCACAGGAAAGTGTGTGAAGTTTTAAAAAATTTTACCGAATGAAACACGAGAAAAATACATTAATTTTTATCTATGTGATGTCACAAAACGAACGGACAATTTGCCGAAAATAAATATGTTATTTTGTTCACACCCACGTTCAACTACATTTTTTATGGAATTGCTTGGGATGGTGATTCAATTGTCATGTCGGTCATTAGCAGGGCGTAACCATATCGATAGTTTATATATAAACTTTTACCTTAACATTCAAGAATCATGTTATTCTCAGCTGTAAATACTAAACGAAACATGTTTACTATCAATGTTTCTGTCGTCAAAGTCAACAATGACTTTTATTAAGGATTTTAATGACAAAAAACTTTGAAAATGTGAGCCAGTATTTAAAGTTCAGACGCCAGCCGAGAGGTGTGTAACAACCGAGAGACATCACAGAATACAATTACATGAAGCATCGCTCGAAATCAATATAATTTAAGGTAGACAATCCATTGAGCAACACCATCCACTGCATGCTTTCTGATGTCTGGTGGGTCATCGTAATCCCAACCAAGCCCTTGTAGCCATAACCCTTGCATCACTATATCTGCTTTTTTATCCGAAAAGCGGAACCACTTCCAATCGGGTCAGAGGTTCCAGATATCTTGCTGAGAAGGATAGGCTTTGTTAAATTTCCTAGAACTGTAGAGCGTAGGGTTTCATCCAATTTTGAAATTTCAGTGTGTCCCAATTTTACTTTGAACGAAAACTTATCTTTTTGAGGGTTTCAAACAGTTGCAAAAGATTTTGTGTATAGTTCAGGGGATCTTGACGAATTTCGGTTGCGACTTCTTCTTGTTGTTCTTCTTCGTTCAACATTGCATTGCATCCATCTCTTGACGTGGAATACGCCAGCTTCAAGTACTTCATCGAATAATCTTGTCAGTTTTTGGTCGCTTGTTCAGTGTTCATATGTCATCCATGTAGGTATTATTCTCGATTGAATTGGCAGCTTCCGGTTTGACATCCTCTTCCAGCTCAACAGTTTTAGTGTTTTACGCAATGCAAAGATGACCCTGGTGGGCGATTGGTTGTCCCCAAACATAGGAATTCTCTTAACATACGTATCATGCTTGCGTTCTGTCTCGAAACTCCTCTAAGGAAACTGGTGGGCATGCTGATCAATTGGCGGGATAGCAATCAGGGCCGTACGCAGGCTTTTTTCACCAGGAGGCAATAAATCATATGTCGAAAAATGTCCTAAATATCCAAAGAACAATTAATAATGATATCCTAAAAATTTGCTATATCTGCTATATATTTCACCGCGAACAGCAACAATATTTTCCGGAAAATGTGACATTACCCCCAAAAGGTTATTTAGTACCTCTGTGCCAGTATTTGTTTAGACAGGGTCCTTTAAACGACATGAAACTGTTGAAAACAATGCGCACCTTTGTACACTTCATTTCTTAACTAACGAAGAACGGCATTGTGAGCGAGATTATAACGGACTGGCTTTTTCCATTCTGTGTCTTTCTCTTGTGTTAACTTTCTCTACAACTTTTTCTTTTCCATTTCTTTTATCTGTCTATGGCATGCTTCGACTGCTCACTCAAGCGACGGTCTGTATTTTCCACCTTTTTTAGGTCTTGCAAATAGTTGTTTGGTAAACGGGTAAGTCTTCCTTCCACAGATAGTTTATAATCCAATTATTTCCAAACAACTCACAAGACTCTTCAATCAACTTCAACAATTGTTGTTCTTTTAAAGACATATCAACTGCTTGACAATTGCATATCGAGGGGGGAACGCCCATTGATTTGATTTTCCAAAAATGTGTCAAATCAACTGGAGGGACAAAAACAACATGTTAAACGTGACTTTTTGGAAAGTCATTTCTTTTCAGTCGGTCGACACAAAGACCACCCAACCAAGTGGATATTTTCTGACAGCAAGATTTCTCTCAATTTCAGTTTCACCAGCATCAACTGTGGGTAATTAATTCCAATCAGAAGGTTGACAGGGCCAACCGTGCGCTTCAGCTTACTAGTAGGAATGTCGAAGACTTTTGAGACTTCGCTTAGATTACCATTGAGTAATATAAGCCAATTACCCAACAGTACTACCATTATATTACCATTGGGCAATTTTCGAATTACGCAATGGTAATATAATTACCGTTATATTACTCATTGGTAATATTATTAGCCAATGATAATATAATTAACATTGGGTAATAAGAATATTACAGAATAGTAATATAATTACCATTGGGTAATTGTTAAAGGCAGTGGTACAGACTGTTTTCTGAAGCCCGTACGATGACAACTTCTTGGCTTTTTGAATTTATTTCCCATCAGAATTGTACACAGGCATTTCGTACAATTTTGTTGTTAATTTTTGTTCCACCTCTCCAACCTTAGTAATCACAGCGTTAGCAGGCTTTCCTTCGAAAGCCAAGGACTCCGCATAACTTCTGCCAATCATAGAGATCTGGGGACCACTATCACAAAATACATTAGCTTGTACATAACACAGTCCTTTACTTTACTTAGCAAGTAATTACAAGGACTGTAACTGTCACAGTTACCTGTTCTTTATTCCATGTTGTTGCAGTGGAGCAGCTTATGATGTACATTTTAGAGCCGTCGCCATCATCAATAGGCAATTCCAGCTTTTAGTTTATGCGTGCACGGGTCGATGGGAAGTAAGGTATCACATAGCTTATTATGCTGAAAAAATAAAAATGGTGGCCGTGTAAACACAGAGTGATAGTTTATACTTGTAAATATTGAAATATTTCGTTTGTTTCGGTACTTTTTATTGAAATTTTTCAGCAAATCAGCAATGCGATACCTTACTTCCCATCATCCCCTGCAGGCATAAACTAAAAACTGGAATTGCCTATTGCTTGACTACAGCATTTACTTTGGGTACAGCGCACAGCGGTGTGACCCTTACTTCTCTTTAGACATGAAAAACATGCTCTTTGTACACTTATGATTTTCCATCTTTCGCTTGGGGCCATATCGAATAACATGTTGCATTCATCTACAGAATGATTTCCTGGCAAACATAACATTTCGACTTGCCTCCTCCCCCTGTAGACTCTCAAGAGCCAAATACATTTACGTAAGTGTTTATTTATTAAAATTCCGCTATTTATCTGATATACAAAGTGATATAAAATAATTTCGATCTTTATCTGATATATTATCGCATCCGATCTTTATCCGATATACAGACTCTTGCCTTCGGCTCGAGTTTTTATACCAGATAAAGATCGGCTGCTCATGTTTTATCTAGTTCTTTCAATACTTCGTCTCATGTAAACAACTATGAGCCATATGTACGCCCAACTTCGTACCCATAGTTTTTCCTCTTGGGGAGCAAAGACTCTGGTGGACGCTGGTCATGTGATCTGCTAAAATCTAGCTGATTTCTAATTAACTATCTTGGATACCTTTACGACAAGCATATAAAATGTAAATTATTAATTAAACTATTAAAATAATCCAAATATAAAATGTCTATTGACCTGATCTTGGATTGGTAATTAAAAATCTGCTAGATTTTAGCAGATCGCGTGACCATCGTCTACCAGGGTCTTTGTTTCCTCCCCAAGAGGAAAGACCCTGGGTACGAGGTTGATGTACGCCAAGAACTGAGCTTGTACACCAGACTCGGCGGCTATGATCATCGTTCAACATTGTTCGCATTTAAAACACTATCATCATCGAGAAATATATGCTATATATTTCTGGTGTATCGTTTTACAGAATATATTTCAAGTCTTTCAAACCTTTGCATGCCCAATGGAAAGCATGATTCTTGAGGAAATTTCTGAATTTATAGTTTTTGAGTTGTTATTTTAATTATCAATTAACCAATGAAATACTTTCATTTGTCATATATTATTCAAATATAGCGCTTTCCAATCAGGGGCCTTTCCAGAAATTTGTGGAAAATCCACGTGACCAGAACAAAGAATTTTCATCCAACTCACAGATGCAAATATCCTTTTCCTTTTATCTTAACGTCTAACAAGAACAAACATTACTTTAGAAACTTCATAAAACCATACGAAATCGTGTCCAAAAGCAATTTTCCAAGCTCATCACTTTTGTTCTATACGAGTCCTTCCAAATTAATGTCCAAGTAAACTCCGACTTATACCTAAAACATTAAAATATAGTCTTACAGTACATACAGTTCTTTAATTGGTCGTCAGTGATAA